TTTCTTATTAATTTTTAAGCCTTTTAAATATTATTTTACAAAAACTAGCTAAGTATCGAAAGTGGCCAAAGTTTCTAACTTCTAGTTTTATATTAGGGACTTTATTAAGATGACACCACGTTTTTTCAGCTAGTGTATGCGAAATATCTGAGCTATTACAAAGATTCGAATGCGCCAACAGAGAACGAGCTTTCACATTAATGCAACAACGAAAATAACAGTAGTAAATCGCAGCAATTCCCCAGCCTTGGCTAATGTTCGGAACTTCCACGGGGTTTATCTATATGTGTTCCGTTATAGCTAACTTTGGGTCACGCAAAAAAGAAGTAAGAAGTCGTATTCGTATGGCTAAGAGCGCTATGTCTCAACTGGAACTTGTTGACTAGTAGAAGCAAGAACAGAAAAAATAAGAAAAGGCACGTGAACTATTGTCCTCTCTATATTTTTGTATAGGGCTGAAACCGATTATAAAAAATATATAATTACCTTCACTAAAAACTAAAAAGAAAATTACAAGCCCAGTAGTTTGGAATGTTATAAGTACTTCTGAATAAATGCTCCATTGAAATAGTTTTAAAATCTATACACACATAAAACATTTCATAAATTCAAAAGCAGAGTAGAAGGATCAACACTCGGGATCCATACAAATTATACGGGGCTCCTCTGATTGGTCTAAAAGGAATGATATGTTTTATGTGCGTATTGATTTTAAAACTATTTCAATGGAGCAGTTGTTCAGTAGTACTTAACATCCCAAACAAGAGGGCTTCTTTTTTCTTTTTAGCTTTCAGTAAAAGTAATTAAACTATATTTTTTCATTTCTGTTGTTTTCACGCAGTCGGGTTTTTTGATTTTATAATAAAAAAAATATTTTTACACTTTTTAGTTAGTTCTCGACTTCGTTATTAGAACTATGAGACGGTAAATTTCGCAACTTTGTCATTTCATTAAGGGAGTTTATAACGTGAGGAATTTTAAGCAACTTGTGGTCGTCTAAACTACTGATTTATTAGTTCCCCTAGAGACCCCACTCGGCTTAAAGCTACATATGATTGGCTTTTAGCAAAAATTTGCGAACTTAAGTCAACCACAGGTCGGTTATAAATAGTTCTTGGTACTTAAGAGCTTAATAATTTGCGATCGGGTCACTATATCTAAAAACGGTTTCCGCACACTTGTAATACTTTTGAAAGAACAATCCAATAATATCCCACACTATAGGGAAAACGAAAAAATAAATTATCCCCACTTTACATGTAAGGGTATCCTAGAAAAAGAATTTTGCTTAATGTTATGTGTTTAGTGACAAAAATCATTAAAATTGGCGAAGCCGTTTGGTCTCTATAATGCCATAGAGGGACAACAATACATTCATAGACTCATAAACACATTACCATCATTTGCGTTGCGCAGTCGGGAAAAAGACGACTATCAGGCATGTTGGCTCGTTTGAGTCTATGTTATAGTCTTGGAGAAAGATGCTTGAAATTTACTGAATAGAGCATCGATCAACACACCGAATTAAAGATAAGAATGAGCTAGTCCTTCACTAGTATTCATAGAATTCTTTGAACACATTGCCAGCAATAGATGTGATAATCTTGAGAAAGTTTTACTGGCGGCTAAAACGCCATTCCATGAGGTGGCGTCTGGATAATATCCCATATATCCAACTTCTGTTTAAGTATCTAGAGCATCTAGTGACCTATGATCTGAAGGATCATTCTGATATTGAGAGAGCGTGGGGCGTTTTCTGTAAAGCCTATGTGATTGCACGTAGGTTTGCTCGTAGCTCGGTGGACGTCACAATCACCATCTTTAGGGCATTTTCTACTTCTTTCTATACTTGTAGCCTGTTGGAGGTTCATACGCGGAAACAGTACAGCGCGTTACGCATCCAATATAATAATGCATTTTAAACTCTAATCTCCAAACAGACATGTAATAAAATTATATAAAACCTAAATGTTTTGCCGACTAAGAAACCGTACAAATGCTTAGCTTGTTATACGAATAAAAAACGATATTTATGTATTATTCAATGGCGTAAAGATAGCAATATAAATAAATGTATTCATAGATACTGCAAACAATAAAATTTAACAACTTTATTGAGTACTGCATACTTCGTACAGTCAGCGTTAAAAGAATTATCTAACGATCATAATATTTGAATTTAAAGAAGGGGTTCACTATGGTTACAAAAAATGCATATCAACAACTCAAAAAAATTGTAATGACAAGTATCTTCAATGCAGTCAGAATGTTTGTAAAGCATCATGGAAACTTATTTGGCATGAAACAGAACCGGAAATCCCAAAATCTTACAGTACTGGTATAAAGCATAATGGTAATCTTGTTCTTGATGGTAAGGAGATGGCTGAGATATTCAATGATTATTACGTTACTTTGGCTGGTGATAGTTACAAATATGATAGCGATAAAAAACAGCAGACACTGTACATTGTTGATCACAACTCTAAATCGATGTTTTTGGAGCCGGTAACGGAAGGGGAACTTCTCAACATTATACAGTCTTTGAATAACTCAAATTCTTGCGGATATGATGAAATATCAACGAAGGTTCTAAAATTCTGTAAATATGAGTTAACACATATTTTAACGTTTTTGATAAATTTATCATTCGAAACCGGGTGCTTCCCTGATGCTCTCAAATTCTCGATTGTTAAACCCATCTATAAAAAAAAAGATAAGCAAACTGTGGAGAACTATCGCCCGGTTACATTAATACCTGTAATATCAAAAATATTCGAGAAGGCTATGAAAAAAAGATTAGTGAGTTTTTATTCGAAGTTCAACTTAATAACATCAGAACAATATGGCTTTCAGAAAGGAAAATCAACTTTTCTTGCGTGCTTTAATTTAGTCAAAAATGTTATCTCGTCTCTAGATAAAAAAGAGCGTACTACAGTGCTGTTTTTCGATATGTCCAAGGCATTCGATTTTGTAGTGCATGATGTATTATTGGACAAGCTGGAAAAGTATGGAATCCGTGGAAACTGTCTGTCGAGGTTGAAAACATATCTGAATGATAGGTGTCAATGCGTGGAAGTTAATAGAGTAAGACAGGTGAACGATGAATATGTGGCTGTAGCAGATCGATCAAATTATAAAATTAATAAATTCGGAGTACCACAGGGGAGCGTACTGGGACCGATATTGTTTTTGTTTTATGTCAATGACTTGCCAAAAGTGACTAAGAACCAATGTTTTATGTTTGCTGATGATATTTCTATTATTATTAAATCTAATCCTTTTGACGACTTAGAGTATTATGAAAATGACATTAATGAAACAATCAATAATATAATTCAATATCTTAATGCCCATAATTTGAATGTTAATTTATGTAAAACTAATTATGTTAATTTTAAGATAAAAGGACGCTTAGCTTATAATCTCAATGTGAAGCATAACGACAGAATCATTGAAAGATCTGACAGTGTGACATTTTTGGGAATATTATTAAATGAAAACCTGAACTTCACTACCCATGTTCAGAGGGTCTGTAATAAAATAAATAGGTACGTTTATGTGCTAAGACGGTTAACTTTAAAAGTGTCTCTTAAGGTGGCATTGTCTGCTTATTATGGTTATGTCGCATCAAATATATCTTATGGACTCCTTCTGTGGGGCAATAGTACAGATGCAAATAAAGTGTTTATTTCCCAAAAGAAATGCATAAGAGCTATATGTGGTAAAGGTCCATTTGATACATGTAAACCACTGTTTCAAAAATTGGGTGTATTAACCCTGCCCAGTATGTACATTTTAGAAATTTTTAAATTTGTAAAGCAACACCCCGATTTATTTAAAAGAGCCAAGGACATGTACCCTAGAAACACTAGAGATAGTGACAGACTTGTTTTGGAATACAAACCAAAGACTTCATTAAGTCAAAAAAGTTGTTATTGCATGTGCGTCAAGGTTTATAATAAGATTCCTGAACAATATAAGAATGGATCTGAGAGCTTAATGACAAAAAGACTGCGAGAATGGCTCGTGAAAAAATGTTATTATAATATAAACACATTCCTTAAAACAGATAATTTTGCTTGTTAATTATTATTAACTGAATAGCGATAGTAATAGTTTTTAAGATCTTGTAATACCTATTCTTAGCAAATAAATACTTTGACTTTGACTTTAACTATAAGGAAGGGTCACACGAGAGGCCTTCTCGCCCATTATTTTTGAAAGTCCAATATTATGATTATAAAACTTTGTTTGTTGAAGATACACCTAAGTATTATTTTAGTATTGAAAATAATTAACATTTAAAAGAAGTCACAATTTGCAATAAACTATTGGAATCTTTCTAAACTAATTTTGAGGTGATAAATAATTTATGTTGGCTCACTGGTTGTTAATAGAAAGTTTTGCGCCATCTTGACTAGCGTATATATTTATCTGTAATAAATAATAATAAAAATCAAACTAGGCAAATGTAGTTTACGGCATCGCAGGGAATACCCAAAAGAAAAATTATAGATAGATATCGAAGCCATTATGTAGACACGATATGAACGCACGCAAATCGTTAGACATAGCCAACGACCGACGTTCTGTAACAAATTGCGTTGTCATGTGTGTCGTACAATACCAGCACACCCCAACTATAAGGTATACATAAACCAGGCAACAAAGGAGACAATTTTATTTTCTATGGACTATGGGCCCACTACAAATCCTGGCGTTTACTATTAAAACGCACCTCTATTTGTTAACCTGTTTGATAATATTGCTAAGAGTAAAATTACAGGCGTTTTGAAGGTTCAGTTCAGCATATATCTTCATGTTATTTCGAGTTTCCGGTTAGAAAAAAGTGTGGTTTTGAGCTAGTTTTCTACACTAAGTTTATGTTTGCTTTTGGTACAAATGCAATATGTCATTAAAAGAAGTCAGTAATTTTTTTGTTTTAGATAGTTTGGTTGTTCTCTATCTATAGCATTGTCTATGGTATAAAGAGCAGAAAATTATTTTTCTTCAAAGTTGCTGGTTTGCTCTATAAAATTCCGTAAAGTATTCAATGCTGTTCTTGCCTCTTTGATGGAAACCCATGGAGCGCATGTAGTATTATTCGAGTTTTCTATGTCATCTAAATCATTAGTATCGATTTTCTGAGCTACTGAATTGATAATTTCGTCAGCAGTTAATGTCCCAGCAGTCATAACTCCATCATCGCACATAACAAAGTCCTCAAAAGATATTCCTGATTCAGACACCACTGTATTCCATTCTGCAGGAATAGAGATATCTTCGGTTTCAGTTTCTTCTGTTGACGACGATGAAAAATTAAAATTCATTTTATTTTTCTTCGAGCTATAGAGGTGATAAGTTTCAAATAGTCGAGTTGTAAAGGTTGTAAAATCAAACATTGCTATGTTTGAGATACAGAGGTCCAATTTAATTTTTCGAGTTATAAAGGTATAAAATAGGTACCAAAATGGCTTACAGGGACTCACTGATTATTTCGACTAATAGAGGGTTGAAATTTCGAGGAATGGAGGTTTTGGTGTTTGAAGGGAAGGTAACAAAACATTTTTTCGAGATTCGGAGGTTTTCGAATTATCGAGGTTCGACTTAACGAGGTCCTACACCTCTATTTCTTCGTTATAAATTATAATCAATAAATTATAGTGGTAATATTTATATCTTATTTTCTTAACTCAACACTGAGTTTTTACAACAATTCATAATAATATATGCAATAAGATTCCTGTACGATAACATTGTAAAATGATAGGCGTTTTGAAGGTTCATCATACGTTTTTTATGTTATTTTGAGTTTCCGGTTAGAACAAGTTAAAGTTTTTTTGCAACTTCTCTACACTAAGTTTATGCTTATAGTGAAAAGATACAAGTTTATTCTTAACAAAAAATATACTTGAAAGAAGAAAATTTATACGTTAGTTATAAAGTTTATGCGCTGAAGGTCTTGTCTGGTATCTAACACCCTGTTGCATAGAAGTCCATTAAGGTATAATAACAACTTTAAGATCTAATTAATATTCTTAACTTGGAAATTTGTGTTAGTGACGTCGTTTTAAACTAATGACACCCCTAATGGACTTTTGTGAAAACTGGAAGCACGAGTGCCAATTTGTTAAAGTATTTTTTTAATAGATAAATTAAAGAGTTATTATCAATTTTTACAACTTTATATTATCAATTTTATGAATATCAACTACGAATGTATGTAAATACTTTTTGTCAGATTAGAAGTTGTCGAAGTTGGCAGCGTGGGTGCGTTCATACCCAACGAATTTCAGAAACACGCACGCTTCACAGGTCAATAGGAAATTACATACTTCCGTTTTGTTTAGTTAAAGTTTAACCATTGTAATTCCATCGAAATCAATCAAAGGCGCGTGTAGATAATATTGAATAGCTAAGGTTATTGTGGAGACGTTAATTGTAACATATGCAAACAAACGTGCACGCAAACACGCGAATACGTGAGATAATTAATGTACGTATGTATCTCAGAATCTGACCTAACCTATATCTAAAACTTCGTAGTGGTTCACTCGTCGATTTCGAGGTGTCGCCATCTCTGGGCTCCCGGGAACGATTCTCGTTGGATCAATGTAGAAAAAAGACTTTTCTATATTATCTCGGGTCTGGGTGTTGTGGTAATTTTTGCTGTGTCAGATATTCCATAATACGGGTGCTTTAGTTTCTCATCATGGAATCTGAGCAATCTGTAATGTTATCTAAAATTTATAAGAAAAAAATTTTTGCTTGTTTACTGGACGGACATAGAATAGTAACTTTATGTCTGGCAAACCAGATAATTCTAACTTGACTTAAATTATTTGAATATTTCGGTGGCGTAGAGGATAAGCGCCGCGACCCGCAATTGTGGTTGTTAAGCAACTTTCGTAAGGGCAAGCAACTTTCGGGATGGGTGACGAAAAAAAAAATATTATCTCGAGCTACTCCGTGCCGGAAGACACGTTAAGCCGTTGGTCCCAGCTGCATTTGCAGCCGTTAATACTCTCCTTAACCATTCTCCTCCTCCTTAACCATCTATAAAGAAGGCATGAGCCCCTACAGTGGGGACGTTAAAGGTCTGATGATGATGATGATGATTATTACATTATTTTGTCAGTTTTGCCATAGCTTGATTATAGACAGGCATTTGACTATACTATACGACAACACGTCTCTACAAAGGCTGAATTTGTGCAGGCGATTTTAAGTCTTACTTTATTGATATTACATTCCAAATTAAATGCAGAAATTTGGCCACTGGCAACCTGATACGCTGTATGTATACAAGACTGCACGTCAAGTTACCACAACATGTCAAACTTCCGCAATTGATTTTGAACTCTACTCTCAACGTATCAAGATTTAAACCGACTGGAAAAATTTGGCAGTTTTGTATAACTTGACGTGCTGACTACATATGGTTATTAAATATCTATTCATGTGAAGGCACAACTATCTAATATACTTTCATCTATTTCGATTCCTTAGGGTATAGATCAAAGCACTTTTCGAGATGTGATGCATAACACATTCGATATGATCACCGAGGAGGCTATTCTAGAAAGGATCTGGATCACATGGGACAGAGGTGCGGCAGGAGGAGAGGGGGCGCTAAGGTTCGAGGCGTGGGTACGGGGACTAAGCATACTCCTCAAAGGCACTGAGGAAGAGAGGAGGAACCACTGCTTCGCCGTCTATGATCTGAATGCTGACGGGTTCATCACAAGAGATGAAATGTTTACGCTGCTAAAGTTAGCTCTCACCTTTGATATTTAATACTATGTAGAATGAAGTTGTTCGCATAAATGTTGTTCTGTTTTCAGTAATTAGTTCCACAAAAAAGCGTATTCAGCTAAAATTTTGAGTGAAACTTTACAATTTTGGAAGGTTCCTATTAACCTGATTTGATGATAAACCTGGTGTATTTTTCTTAAATGTTTATTTTGGATTTAACACTACTACAAATTTAAGAAATAAACAACTATGTCAAATTGATTATAGATAAATAAATATATTATATAATATGGTTTTACTAAAAACCCCAGAATTTGTATTTCTGTTTTTAAAGCTGTATATTGTTATTTTGTGGCAAAAAAAATTGTTTGTATTCAAAAAAGATCTTGAATATTAACGGTCTTTGTATTTATTAAGAATCTTTTTATGTTTTATTTGATTGCGGTATTTCCAGAAATTCTCTTCTTAAACAACCGGGGGACGAAGACCCAGATGAAGGAGTACGAGAATTAGTGGAATTGGTGCTCAAGAAACTCGACATCGACAAAGATGGCCGCGTATCCATCGAGGACTACAAGTAAATAATTCCTTAAACTTTTCCTTTAATGGTCTTATGTGACCTATTTTCCTACGAAGCATGTAGGTAACATTCCCTTTCATAAGCGGTTACGAATCACAATTAGTTGTGTACGTGACTGATATAAAAGTGCCCATCCGGAAGTAGGAGTATTTGTGACTCGGAGTTATCAAAATCATTAAAAATAAATTTTGGCCTGGGGAAAACGCCCTTCTTTTTGTGTCATAGGGGAATATATTATCTATCGAGTGTTAAAAAATCGACATTGGAAAGCAAACATGTAATCACCCGCAAAAAATGTAATTGATTTAGAACAGAAAATATATTTATTTCGAAAAAAATTATTACTTTCGTAATAATCGATATTCATAACGTTTTTTTTTTTCGAATTAATAAGAAGTTATTCTTGATTTCCAGCATCGACATGCTCTTTGGTCTTTAATTAATAAAGTTGACGGACTATCTCTGCAGATCAGCGGTTGACCAGGAGCCTTTGCTGCTGGAAGCATTCGGGCAATGTCTACCATCGAGGCGACAAGCCACCACATTTTTGAAAACTCTCAACCCTAAACTTTAAGTAGCAATTGTAAATTAAGTAGCTCTAATTGCAATACTGAGAGATGTCATTTAACTCATTTTGAATCAAGAAAAATAGTAACAAAGAACATAGAAATTAATTCTATATTTTAATGAAAAAAAATTGATCAAAATTGCCATAAGCAGCCGACTCAATATTAATCCTAGTAACGCCCAATTTGTATGCAAAAGTAAAGGGTTGTTATTTTTCTTAAGTCTTCAACAAATGTTATATTTTCGAGATTTGGTACTTAGTTATACAATTGGCGTTTCGTTTCTATTTACATGTATAGATGGAGTCTCTAAGTATAGAAGTTAGTTAAATTTTAATATGAAATTTTTAATGGTGTAGTACCTAAGTATTAGGGTATGACATAACTGCCTTTTATATAATATTTTGTGAGCAATGATATTACAATAAAAAAGGTAGATGGGTCATGTCAGTATTACTAATTCTTTTTCTTTTATTAATGGCTTATCTGCGCATTTCGCACAATTCTGCCAATGTCAAGTGAATAAATTAATTTCTACATGTAAAATGAAAATGAAACAAATGAAAGATCCAGTATTACTACTTCTTCTTCTTAACTTTAATGACACTTTGCGTCACCACAATACTGTCAACTTCACGTAGGAGACCATTACACGATTTAAATATATTCATTCAACCAAACAATTTTGGATTTCAGTACTAATACGATGTCAAAAATTGTTCCTAGCATACACACACGCACATGGCACGATACTCTTCAATTATTCATAGACTACAATTGAACATGTTGTGACATATAATGATTTAATGCATGTTTAATGCCTACTTTTCCCTAAACGATTTAAAGACTACGATCAATAGTTCAACTTCAAAATGTTGATGTCTAATATTATTATTTCTCCTTGTAGTTAGTGTATATATTATTTGCCCGTGCATAAATAATGAAGCTTTTCAAGTGATAAAAAAAACTTGACACTGATACATAATATGAATAAAACGAGGGCTTCGATCGAAATCAGAATCGGAGTATTTTCTTAGCTACGGAGTTAGGTTTCGATGCTTCGAATTCAAACTCCGGAGTTTCGGGGTTTCAGTCTCATATAGATTTTCAAATAAATGTAAATGCGTAGGCACTAATCTCGAATTGTCCGTTCTGTTGCCTACATAATCTTTGACAGATCTCTTTCACAATTTGTAACCGAAGTATTTACTCTTAGGTTTTATGACACAATATTTATTTTTCTGATTGTCACGCAAATCATTTAAAAATTTATATTTACGAATGAAATGTGACTCCTTGATAATAAGTCGACTTACTTATGTAGTTTTTACAGTTTCGCATAACACAGGATGGCATTTCTAAAATGATTATGGTACATAAACGCACATAATCAACGCTTTTGAATTTAAGTAACCTAACTACCCTTTTTTATTGTAATATCATTGGTGGTGAGGGTTAGTTTTTAATGCGGTGAACTGAATTTTAAAAGGAATGAAAGAAAAATAACGAAATAAAATATAAGTATTGTCCATAGAGTGTACGCGATAGAACTCTGTTAAAGGTATAATCGAGAGTACTTACTGAATTATAAGCAGCATCGGGACTCTTTAACTGTGTAATTGATAACAATATGATTGTATTTATGTGGAATACATTTTACAAAACGGAAATAAAAAAACAATTGGTGATCAATTAATGTCTTGACTTCAAAGGAGGTTTGAGTTTGGGAATATATGCATTCAAACTCTTTTCAAGTTCATTTCGCCCACACAAAACACACCGTGTTCCTATAGTGCTGCACTCGGGAAAATCAATAGATATTTGGAAAAGAAAAAGTTAGAAGAGGTAGAATTAAAGCTACTTCACTGATAGATTTTGTATCATTTCCCTGGCAAAGGCTACAAATGAAGTATTTAATATAAATGATTTAATTATTGGAAATAAGGTATTTATAGATATTCACTCATTTTCTAACAACTGTAATTTGAACTATAACATTAAGAAAAAATATCAGGATGAATTTAATTCTAACTAGGGATGTATGATTAGTCTAAATGAGTATGTTCACGTAGTTTTTACTCATTCAAGCGTTTTATAAAAAATAAAAAAATGGCCAAGTTACTTTTGAATGTTTTATTACTTAAAAATGAGTATAAAATAACTATTATTGTTACACAACACTTCGTATCTGTATCTTATCATAAGTCATTACTTACTTACATTAATTAGATAATCCATAATAGTTAATTAGCGTGTAAATAAATTTGATTATGTTTATTATAAATAAGCTGTACTGACAGATAAATAAATGCTTATGATAAAATCCATATTAAACTTCTTACATTTGATATAGGAGATCGCCCAAATATGGTTCTGTTTTGTAACATAATGAAATTTGTACCAAAAATTAAGTTGTCATATTTTATTAAGTCTAACCACAACTTCTTCGGAAAAAAATGCAAATGAATTAGGAAGTTTAGTGATAAAACCACTTGCTCCGTCTTACTCTATTACATGCTCTATTTATTTTTGAAATTATCTCGGAACTGTCAATTAATCACGTGATGTTTTTTAGCATTTTATAATCCCCCCCTCTCTACCCAAAGCACATGTATTTTTAGTGCTTAAAAAATCTCAATTTTTGACGTCGCTTTTGGGTTAAGTAATCGCGCGTTTGAGGAAAAAATAAATACTCGTGATGTATAACTCTTTCGAGCCTCACCTGATTAATGGACGCCCTTGAAATTGACAGTTTCAATTCAATATCGACTATTAAAATCTCCATTTAATTGATACTTTGGCAACTAACTATATTATTGAAGCTACGTTACGTTTTTTAATTTCGTCCAAAAAAATAAAAATATATCACAGCATGTTTTCCAAGAACTTTGTTAACAAAGTACATAAGTGAAATATTTTGTGATTGATTCTGCAAATTTGAAATGTAGAACCACGTTTAAAAATGAGGTATGTCACATGAAGATATATCTTGGTACAATCCTAATTACGTATTTTCTCCTTGAATGAACAATTCTATATCGATAGTTATATTATAGATAACTATTCAATAGATATACCATGTCAGGTGCCAATAATGATGTATATTGTAATGTATGTAAGGATCGCGTTATGTTTATATACTTAAAAAAATGGAACGTGGCCTCTACACGCAGAAATTTTTAGAGTCGGTATCTTGAGTTCATCATAATGAAGTTTAACACTAGAATTTTCTCACAAAAGTAATATAAAATAAATTTTCAATGAAAATAAATGTTTCAGCATAACAATCTGTTAACATAATGACCATTTTATTTACACAAAAAAACAAATGCACTTTCGCTTATCTATATATCCAGTTTGACCTTCTAATCGTGTGGATCTAGACCAGTTCCAAAGAAATCGTTCATCAACAAGGCAGCTTTGTAAGGCAGTATACGGAATATGAACTGTAAAAAGAAAAGCATTTTTATAATAATCAACCAAGTGCGAGCCGGCCTCGGACACGAACGGTTCCGTATGATCTATGAAAAACACGAAATATCGCGTTTGTTGTACGGGAACCCCCTTAATTATTTATTTTAATCCTTGTTTAGTATTTGTTGTTATAACGGCAACAGAAATACATCATATGTACATCAACTGTCACGGTTCATGAGATTCAGCCTGGTGACAGACGGACGGACAACGAAATCTTAATAATGTGTCCCGTTTTACTCTTTGGGTATAGTATATTTAACCTAAAAACTGTAAATTTGTATATTTGAACAAAAACTCAAAGTGCCAGATGAGCCAGCCAGGGATGGATTTTTGAAGCGTTTTTCATTAAACATATTTTTCAGTATGGCATTGTGAAAGAAAAGAAATACAATAATTAGAACAAATTTTCATTTTTATCGAAATTTTAAATATTTGTAAAAATATTTCTTTCGTCTGTTGCCTGTGCCTGAAGATCGATGAAAATACGCTTTGTAGTAGCTAAAAAGTAACAAGTGCTTGAAAAATTCGTCAGTAATGTGCATTCCAAAGCAGGAGAAGTATGAGATAATAAATTTTTGGTCACCCATTCCAGCCCATTTGAAAGTTACATAACTTCCGCTATTGAGCTCCTCCTGCGCCATTGATCGACAAATTTAAAATATAGAACCCTGAACACGAATTATCAGATCTTACCTTATTAGCATAGTACAGATCGCTAGGTATTGTGATCTCGAGGTATTCCCTTCTTATGGCGTCCACAATTTGGTCCGCAGCAAATTCTTTCTCCACCATGTCAGTGAGCCCCTTGAAGCGGATCCGAGGATTGTGGCAGAGTCCAGTATTCACCATAGTAGGATAAATTGTGGTGAATTTAATCTGAAATCATGATTGAATTTAAATTCAAAACATTTACTGTGACATTTTACATTTAAAGTTAAATGACTGGACATATTCGAAGATGCCACTAAGACATGACTTGCTTATTAAAAATCAATAGTCAGTTGACAGCGGCAGATATTTCGTTCTTCATGAATTATATGATAAGTAAGGTTTGTAGAAACCAGGCCCGTCTTTACCCAGGGTGCAAAGGATGCAATGCACCCGGGCGAGCGCGTTGGGGGCGCTGCGCCGATGATGTTCAAATATAAATTGTAAAAAGTGGACTGGAAGGCACCAGAGCATTGTGCTTAAGACGGACCTGGTAGAAACTGAGCCTTACATTTAGGGCGCAGTTACGATGAAAAAAAAATAAGTGCATTTAACTAAACACAGTTCTTCTAAATTAAACGCGCCCAAGCAGCAAAAATTTTCAAATTTTGCAACCATTTACCAACTAGTTATACTTGCTTCGCACTTTCAGGGAGAATCCCCCAAAGTGTATGTTAACTACATGGTTGATAGAGACCGCATGCGGATTATAGAAGATACCTTGACTAATGCAAATATACCTTTAGTTGATAGAGCTTACAGTACCTTACACACTTACCCCATTCGTTGCTTTACTACGGTCTTCATGTAGTTCCATAGCGAGAGCTTCCATTATACCCCGGACTGCGAACTTAGAGCCACAGTACGGCACGATGTTGCGTAGACCCATCAGCCCGGCCATAGATGACATGGAGACTATATGCCCGTTATTATTTTCTAACATGGCGGGTAAGAATGCTTGGAGAGCCTGTAACATACAGTAAAAACATTGAGAATATATGTGGCGTGAATTTAGAAAATCTACGGAATGGTAATTCGTATTTAAAAGATTTTAATTTCCAGATTGTACCGTGACTTGTTGCTCACTTCTCTCTTTCCACTCTTTAAGTTATCCGACGTGAAAGAAATAAAAGAAAGACTAGAAAAACATACATACAAAAGTCTATGAAATTCTGTTTAATTCCGTACCAAGATTTTGATTCTGTTTGTTGTCCAACATAAATTCTACAGATCAAAACATGAGTGACTACTTATACTTTCTAATCGGCTTCAAAATTTTAAATTTGTGGACCTAAGTTGGTATTATTATTTTTTTGTCGACTTCAGCAGTTTCGTTTTATAGCATATTATATAACTGAAAGACTTTTTCTAAATAACAAGATATTTAGACGAAATTTTTATATCGATGAAGTATTTTTTTTATAAACAATTGTTTACCCAAAGGATTCCATTGACATTAATATCCATCATAGTACGGATCTCTTTCTCGGATTGCTTCAGTAGGGGCTTGCAGGGCATGATGCCTGCGTTGTTTAGTAAGATGGTGACGTCACCCACTTCTCGTTGCACCTTGTCAGCCAACTGAAATACTTCTGCGCGGTCCGTGACGTCACATCTGATGAAGATATTATTATAGGTACAGTGAACAGCGCGAGGTTATACAAAACTGTCAAATTTCTTCAGTTTATTTTAAAAGTCAATGCTTTGTGGGTAGTTTTTATGGTTTTTTTACGGTGTGCAATTTCTAGCATCGCGCACGAATTTTGAATACGCTTACTCTATTGTTCATGTAATCAAGAATAACAACATTTCAGTAGATAGGTATTTATTCGATTCATAGACACTGGGCCTATGAATCGTGTATGATATCTTCGCTGGCACATATGTAGACGCACTCCTTCCAGAGTTAAGTCCTCGGAATCAGTGACGGTGAAGGATCGCTTGCTAGTAGTTGCCAACCCTCATTTAATATCACACAAGGTATAATAGTCACTCACACATAATGGAATGCTTTTCCTTTTTCATTTTTGATCATTTTAGCGGTTTCCTCATTGTTAGCTGCATTGATGTCGACACAAACAACGGTGGCACCAAGCCGACCGAAACGTAATGCCACCTCTCGACCCATTCCATGTCCAGCGCCAGTAATCTAAAAAATATTTATAGGAGGCCCTCAGTAATACATAAAGGCATTAGAATAGCCACTTTTTTTGGAACAGGGAAGCAAGGCATAGAGTTATTAGTAAGTGGAAATGTAATGCAGTAAAATAGGGTGAATCGCTAACCATGAAGGTAATAGGTAAATATGTAGTCTACGCCTATATCATCATGATTATCGCGATCCCCTCTCTCTAAGAAATCATGTAACGTCTTAAATACTCTAATATAATAACCCTATGAAGCGTTTTATCAATACGAAAGTACCCTGTCAATTTTAATTCCCTTGGCAAGATTTTCAGATGAACTTTGGTTAAATAAAGAGAGAAGATAGTGTATATGTGTCTGTTATATATCATATTCCAGCCGTGCATGCAATATAGGTTGGCGCGAAAATTGAAAACCTCTAAGAAGTTGCCGAACTCTCTATCCGAATGTTCTAGCTCTTGGCTATTTATTCTTCGTGTTCCGTGATAATAGATTAAAAAGGAGTTAGAATAACGTGGACATGATTAATAGCAATAACAGCAATATTCAAATATGTGAGCTGATATAATAAATTAAAATTTTATATATAGCTAGTTAAGAAACACCGATTGCCTGCCGATTGTGCGTTGTGGCCGGTGCAGATTTACGGACCTGTGGACATTCACCTTTAGCGGCCTAATTCCAAAATATCGGACTTGATATCAGACGTCCTTGGTTATACATAACCACAGCATAGCGATGTCTCATATTAAATTGACGATCCGTTATCTAATTTAGGTCACAATTAAATAATGCTATAGCTATATGTATACGTGCTATACATATTAAATAACCAGCGATATGTTTTCTCATTAATAAGGTCATAATTATAATTTTCGCTTTGCAATCGAGTTTAATCGTATCAGTGATGTTTATTTTCAATTAAATATTACCCAGTACGTATTTTTAATTACATTTTTAATTATTTTAAAATAGAAAATGTCGCATGCTGTTAAAATCGGTTAACTTTACAAAACCTATAGATGGAGCTTAAAATTTTTAATAGTATGTTTAACTCATTTTTTGTTGTATATATTTTCTCAAAAGTTTCGTTTTAATTCTCTGGTGGGTAATACAAAAAACATCTATTAAAATGATAATTGCTTTCCACCGATTTTATTGCATAAACTAGACTAACTACGGTTTTTTTTTCTGTAAATAACAAATTATAACAGAAGTAAACTTATTATAGTATAGAATTAATAAATCATTTATATAAGATATAATGAATTAATGAATGATTTATAGTTACAATAGTGTAATTATATTTCGTAATTTACGAGTAATAACGAAATAACTTTAAATCAATTGAAAACTATGAAGTTTAGTTTAGTATAGACACTGGTAAGACAATATTGGCATCATCATTAATGAAGACCTCCAACATAATTTATAATTACATATTTTAGTAGTATTTCACTTTCGTAGTTAAAATAGATTTAAATGAAATATATCGTATTATATAGAAGGAGATCTTGGGAATAACTTAGGGTTATCTTTTTTCGGCAATTATCTTTAAGAGGCGAAAAGAGGTAGTTTATAAGGTTAAACCCCTTCTTACCATATTTAAGTAATAAATGAAACAACTTTTAAACGGTCTCATCGCGTTTGTATTTAGTTTCATTGACGTTTCGGACCGTTTACAGGTTCCGTGTTCACAAGCAATAGGTGTTGATTGCCTTTTTAATTGACACATTGATACAATGGACACATTCATGTGAGTGTTTTATGTACAACGGTTTTAAAAGTTGTTTCACTTTTGGATAGTGCGCGTGAGAAAATAAGAAATCAATATATTTAAGTAATATTATTGTTAATATCACATTCTAATCATTAATAAAAACAACAAAAGTTAAGCTTAGCTAAAAATAACCAAATGAAATAAACTCACTGGAAAAAGTAATTCAAAGCGGGTAAATAACACAAGAAAATGTTATACCTACCAGTATTACATCTTCAGAGACATCTTTTGGCTCCGACGGCAATATCCACTTGTATAAAGCCTTCACAATCTCACAGTCCACTCGTAGGACTGTCCATATAAACTCGAACACTATGCGTATAGCTACGATCACCAGTGGTTCTTCCGCCCTAGAACATAAAGACCCTTATGAAGTGTCGCAACAAATAAATAGCATTCAAAATAGAACGCTACGATATTTTTCATTGTTAATAGATGGCGTTAAGGAAGACCTAGTAAAAATGGAAAATTTAAGGTATAACTTTGTGATTTTTCCTTCGAGAAAATAATATTAATCCACGCTTTAATTTAGATTGGTTTTACCAGATTTAATTATCAGTTTGTTTAACGTTATTTCTTGATACAAAACTAAAGTTAGTCATTGTGGATGTACGCGCCCTCTTAATTTTAGTTTTTAGCGAATGAAAGTGATCTGTCATAGTTATTTGCTTCGGAGTGTAATGCAAAAAAAAATCCGTATACATACATCAATCGTTCCGAAGTATTTTTATTTGCTTATTAAACAATAAGTTAGGCTTTAAGACTTTAATTTAAACAAATATAAACACCGAATCTATACATTGCTTATATTAATATATTATAAATAAATACACACCTATATAAATATTACACCAATTGTTAACACCATATTGTGATATAGAAGATTTTATTTAAAGCATTTACTATTTACAATGAAATTTTTATTTTAATTTAAATTTGCTACACCCTTACAGGGTGTCACATAAACTGTACCTAATAATAACACCTGTTTTACTATGTGACATGCAATAAATGAATTATTATTATTATAATCACCAAGACCACAATGTCGCTGGAAAGTTAGTAGGTAATGAAGATCAAAATATGCTTTATTTTTCCTAGTCGTTACAGTCAGTATCTATGCATAGTCATGGACTAATATGTATAGTTCGTTGATGTTGGTAGAAAATGTAATTTTTAGTAAAAATTACAAATGTATACTCACTTAAAAACAGACCACATCATTGAGAAAATAATTTCTAAATTTTCCAAAAAAATTACATAATTTTGTTTATCAAATATAATTAATGGTCTCACAATGCTTATGATTATAGAACTATAAAGTATCTGTTCAGTTATAAGATTCACGGGTGACTGATATTTGTTTTCGTTTAAGAAGCGACCTAGATCTGACGTTGGCTTAATGCCATGTGTATCTAGATGGTTTAAATCTAACCTTTAATATATAATGTTTTGTTACACAGAAATGAATAGGTTATAAAAGTTAAGTGAAGGGTTTTTTTTGGTGTTTAAGTATTGTTCATCATCAGCCCTTCTACGTCTCCACTGCAGGGGCTGACTTCAGTCTAACTGGTCAAGCATTGCACGCTCCCGCCCTTTTTCGGGGGTGTATCTCGAATGTCTCTGAGTTGCACCCACAACCCGCAGACGGACCTGCGGGTCGAAATGGGGGCGAACCGCACGGTGTATGGCCCTCGGGCCGGTCCCGTGCATCGGCCGCGTGCGAGGGAGGTAAACTCCTGCTTCTTGTCTAGTCCCTTCGAAGGTGGAACCGCAAGAGCAGTCCCACATAAAGCCCCTGCGCTGGGGGGAGCGGGTATGTGTAACTATTTCTTAGCGTCAAAAAAAGGGAGGCACATGCCTTCCTTATAGAAGGTTAAGGAGGATGGACCGTAACGTAACCTTCTATGCTGGAGGAGGGTATTAACGATTTCCGAAGCACGGAGTAGCTCGAGATAGTATTTTTTTATCACCCATCCCGCAACCGACCCTTGCGAAGTTGCTTAACAACAACGATCGCGAGCCGTGGCGCTTATCCACTACGCCACCGAGCTATACGAAAATTGTTTATACTTTTTATCTCTAAAATTTATAAAAATAAGAAGTTTAACCCAATTTAAATAATGAAAAATCTCATTTTACAACCTCGGGTACACCCTGAGATATTTTCTTATAATAGTAAATGCTAAATATGATAAAATATAATTGGGTAATAAAGATTTTATTTCATTGAAACAATGCTGTGCTCAACGTTCAATTCAAATCTAGTCCAGTACGGAGGTGTTTTTTTTTAAAATAGCAAATAACAGAATAGTATTTTTGCCTACACATATTAGTCATTAATACAGCCGAAACGAATACGGCGTTATTTACTCACTGTCGGAACATTGTTATGTAAACTCTATCATTGGCATCACGAAAAAAAAAGTTTATGATCTGAAACCGATGTCAGAAGCATTCTCATGATATTTCAGAACGATGCAAATAATCAAAATGAGACTAAATACCCCTTAGATTTATGTAATGTACTTACTTATTCGCGTTTAAAGACTTCATGGCAGTAATAAAAATGACATAACTTTTTAAGGAATAAAAGATTCTATTAAGCATATACAACTATAAATTAATTATGGTAATATGGTATTGTACTTACATTTTTAATTATTTCTATCCAAAATTTAAGGAATTTAAGTTAGAAAATATATCAACAAATGTTTTCAATGGTGTAAACCCACCACCACACACCTTTATAAAATGGCACCTATAACACGCTACGATAATGCCATCAGACAAATAAGATAAAATGTGATAACATTTAGATTATAAAAATTAAACAATCGTGACAATTGAAATAACTACATCAGTAAAGAGGGCAAAGTACTCATTCTATTTTCGTGTAAGTAAATCAAAGTCCTGTTTCTACGCCAATTTGTGATGCACTGATGAGAAGTAGGTGATCACAGCAAACTTTGTTATCAGCAACGTATCGAAGAGTATGTATGACTATTAAACCTACTAAATATAACAGACAACATTAAGGCAAGTACTGACAGGTGATGTAGATATTATCATTCTAAGTTCTGGGGCTATGCAGTTCCATATCGATCTATTGTCACACTGTTAAAAGAGGGAGTAAAATAACATAATCTTTCTTACGATTTTCTGGGTAGTTAACCTTTATAATTTTTAGATTTCTATACGACTGTCTAGAAAAGGGAGTATATTGTATGCAGAGTTAATGCGAGCTACTTTATACCACCATAATTTTTTAAAGACTTAATGAATATGTACGTAGGATATCATTTAAAGAAACCTTACATCATTCAGAGTAAAGGCGCACACTGAATTTTCAGGTCCGGTGGTCCGATTTTTTCCGGTCCGATATGTCAGTCCATATATAGGTAATACTAGCCTATGCACTGTCAGATGATTTAATGTAGTTGGTAAATATCACTTCATATGCTTTGGCAAATTTGGTATATAGTTACTAATTTGATCTGCGTATGGTTCTAATATCGATACTTAGCTAGATTTTAAAATCAAATTAAAAGTATCGATAACTTAAGGTAAGATAAATAAGTGTTGTTACGCTTAGACGCCTAAACAACTGAACCCATCTTAATGGAAATTAATATAGTAAATAGACTTAACTTTAAGAAAGGACATAGGCTACATTTTATCGCGAATTAGTCACAATATCGAGTGTGAGTTTTTCGTATTTATTGTAATAAAATTTGAAATGACTGTTTGTGTCATAAATAAATAAAAACAGAAGTATTCTAAAAGAAAAATAATTCTGCTCAACGAAACTATACCACGCGTATAAAATTATACCTATATATTACTTACTAGAACATTATTAGTAATTTTATTCTAATGTCACAGATATTTTTAACTATTGTATGTGAATAATAATGTTCCTTAATTAGTAAGGGTATAAGTTATTACTTCTAATAGTAGGCATCCGATAGTAGTAAAAAAATACTTTCGTCTTGCCTCAATTTATTATGGTTTATGTAAAATGATCGTCGTTATTTAGGTACCTTTCTACGTCTTCGCACGTAGAGTAACAAAGCAAGTTATTACCGACGTTCCAAAAATTTCATCGTACTTAGCGTAAGTGATGTGTAACTTCAAAGAGAGCTGCGCCACTCCGATTAGGAAAAAAACGGACAAGTGCACAAGCTACTCACCCGGTTTTTTCATGTCATTCCGGACAGGAAAAAATCGGACCGCCGGACCTGAAAATTCAGTGTAGTGCACAAGCGCCCTAACACTGGCAGTGGCGGACTGACGCGGGGCGGAAGGGTGGTCCGTCCCGGGTCTCCGGTCCTGAGGAGTCTCCAAATGGGATGCAGCCATCCGCCAGTCATAATAATATAATAAAGTTAAAAATGTTGTTAAAGGTATATCAACTTTCTGTAACAATCCGAATTCGAATTCACTTATGTATCCGATTCACGTAATTTAGTGAAGAAATTCTATTGATTTCAATTGTTGTATAAGAAAACTAAACAAATTTGATTGATTATACGCACAGAACACATAATAGGTGTCTCAGATATTCTATTCTTATGTCATTTCGAAACTTCACTATTATGGCGGATGTATGCAAAATAAATAATTAAAAACAAGACTAACAAGATCGAACTTAAAATAAAATAAATAAGTTGTATTATGGCTTAGCCAAACAAATTTTCATTGCAGTCAGTAAACAAACTCTGTGGAACATTTGTAATCTAAGACGTCCTCCGGCTGCTACAAGAATTTTGTTTAACCAACACATATTACGACTTGGTTCTTTGATTTTTAGTTAGATTTTGGCAATCTTGCTTTTTATTTTTTTAATAGGGATGACAATTAATTGTTTCTTATTTGTTCGTCAGGTAGATTGTTTAAAAATATTAAACACATATTCTTTTTTCTCGTAATAATAAAACTACGGCGTCACATCGAGTTAAAATGTCATATGACGTCAAGCTTTTGTACATTTCCTATAAAACTGATGTAGCGAGCCCCCACTCCTCAAATTTAATGCCTGTTATCTAAGCTATTTCTTGTTAAATTGAAGTAAAAAAAATACGTATCTATTATTTTTCTATTATCTGATTGACGGACTAAAAAGAATTTTTTTTTTATCCCTATTATTTCATGTATTGATAACCTATGTTTACAGAGAAAAACTGATAAATACGCGAGTATACAATGTGACTATATTGTAGTTAAAAGCTTTATGGACACTTTTAAAGTAATTGTAACAATTTGAGAGTGATTATTTGTCGCTTTGTCACTTTTTTAACCCTTCATTTGTGTTTTGCCTTTCCGCCCAGCCTTAAAATATGTATTTTGTTTGTAATTTGTCACCAGAATTGCAGTAGCTCTTTCTGCTTCATCTATAACCTATTTGGTACTACGAAGGGTTGCACGAGCTCATCCCACCTTCACCATTTTACCATCGGCAATCTAGACGCGCGGCGGGATATCATCCTCTTATGGTAGATATTCCAAGATGTTGCACAAACGCAATTTATTCACTTTTTACTACGCACCACTAAGAAGTGGAGCTCCCTGCCGGAGTTTATATTCTTCCTTCTTATTTAAGTAGGTTCCTTCTGGGCAAGCTCGTCCCATCGTAGATTTCATTCATGCCCCTGGGCTAGATTGGGGTCAATAGTGAGCCCATTATGAATAAAAATAAAAAACTTGCTGTTTTAATGGATTTTATTTCTTCTGTGCGGTTTCTCAGTTTTAGAATACGTGTCATATCAGAGGTAGGTATAACTATGTTCGTGTATTAGTAGTTTACATTCACATTTTAGATGTTTTGGTGTTACCACGCTCTTCTTTACAATATATGCAAATGTCAAATATCACTAATTCCATATGAAATTGGCACTATTTAATTCAGTGCCCGGTTAAAGGAATATTCTGGGAATTCTGTGGTGCTTTATTGAATATAATATTTGATCTCCTTTAGTGAGTACTTGACTTAATGCTCTAGATAACGTAGATAGATAAAGATATTTGCATAATACCGCTGTATCCAAATTTATATATATACTTTATTAATAATACTATAATAAAACAGTAAAAATATTGTGTCTCTACAATAAATATGTTTTTATAAAATTGATTCAGGGCGATACTAAAACACCAACAAGATATAGCTCGATGATTTTTTTAAATTCTTGTCTGTATGTCTGTTTGTATGTACACACTAATCTCTGGAACTACTGAATCGATTAAAATAATGTTTTTTTTTCTTTTTTTTTTGAAGTTATTAATCCTAGACACCGCATAGATTTAATTCAATTTGGTGGCTGATCTCCATCTTATGGAAACCTAACAGGTCGACGAAACAGTAAGAGATACAGATATGGCGCCATAACAAAAATAGTTCCATCTGATAAGCATATTTTCTGTAGCGATTAAAATTTGAAGATTTTGAACATCTGATGTGGATTTCCAAAAACTCAGCTTTACTATAATATTTAAAAGAATCACGTATAAGTGAAAGTCGTTCAGTCTGATGCGTATTTATTGCTAACTTTAACGCCATTAGCTTATAATTGTTTACATGTTTCACTTACTTAAATTATTATTTGGGGCAATGGTACAGAGGCGCAAAGGGAATTTTTTGCCCAAAAAATGTATAAGATCCATATGTGGTATCGCTCCCGACGTCTCATGTAATGTCTTGGTATTCTACCTCTTCCTTGCTTATATATATTTGAAGCAGCGAAATTTGCCAAACGATACCCTGATTATTACAAAATAGCTCATGAAGTGTATCCCAGGAACACTAGAAATTAAAATAGGCTAGTTCTTGACATAGTCCCAAAAAGCGCGCGATTTAAAAATAACTGCTACTGTATGTGTCTAATAATTAATAAGATTCCAGAATCTATAAAGAATAAACCTTTTACTAGATTTAAGAGAGAGTTATATAACTGGCTTGCTGAGCGTTCCTTTTATTCGTTGCGTGAGACTATAGAAACTGAACGGTAGCCTGGGTGGATTAATCAATGCTTATAGTATCTTCTTTTACTACATTTGCATGCTATTGTTAATGGCTGAATAGGCGATAATTGTATTACCTTTTACATCTCTTTTGTATACCCTATTCAAACGCAAATAAATTATTATTATTATTATATTTAATTAATCGGTAGTTTTTGCCCCTGTTGCTCCATACAATTCGAGGATCAACTTCATTTACTTTTTTAAAAACAGCTGATGATGTCGAGCATCCTACCTTTTAAGCCATTTTCTTAACGATGACCAACACTAGGACAACTCTCTTAAAGAAGCATGGTTAGTTATAGCCCCCGTTCCTTACATCAGTTGTTCGACATAATGTTGGTATTTTGTGGTCTTTCAGATAATCCGAGAATATGGAAAAAGTATAAAATTTCTATCTGAAGATATTTTACGCACTCTGAGTAACAATGTGCAGGATACAGTCACTCTAACCGACGACATGGTGAAATAGTTCCCTTTGTTCTATAAAACAAAACTGTCTATGCAATTGGCGAATAATCTTTCCGTGATTACGATCTAGAACCACCGCGAATATGTTGCTGAAACTAATCACTGTTCTACAGAATTAGCCACAGAGTTAATATTTCAAAGATATAGTATTTAAAATTTTACTATTGAACAAAGGGTAACATATTATAAAATTTATTTTTTATTTATTTATTATTACAAGCTTATCGCTATTATTACAGGCAATCCCAATACAACAGCGTAGCCACATTATCTAAATACAATTATAACTTAATCCCCATCACTATAACATAACACAAATTGAGCTACTTTAGTGAATTCACACAGGGTACAAACAAAAAGATCGATTTCTACAGATACCTTATTCAGAATCCGTATAGCTCGCGTCAGTGGGGCTTCATTTAGCAGGTATGTCCTCCCGTGAGGCACTGCAAATAACTTTGGTTGACGCCGTCGCTCCACATACCTATCCGGAACACTTAGACCCACCCGGCCCAGAATCAACGCATTGCTAATTTTGCCTCTTAATAATTTAAAAATATATGTTACCATTGCCAGTCCTCTTCTTACTTTCAGATCAGTGTATCCGACCATACCAATGACGAACAGGGTGGGATAAGTGGATAAAACGGATAAATCCCGTATACTTTCAAGTACAAATATCTAAAAAATTTATTTTGAATCCGTTCCATCATCATACTGTATTTCATTTCATTAGGTGCCCAAATAATCGCATTACACTCGAGCTGACTTCTTACTAATGCATTGTATAATGTTATTACTGACTTTATATTTGTAAATTCTTTACTATTACGAATAACGAATCCTAAGTTTTTATACGCTTTACTACAAATACTTATTATGTGGGCATGAAATTTAAAGTCAGCCGTAAAGCGAACTCCTAAGTCCTTTACCTCCGACATCCTTTCAATGTTATCGAATTTACGTTGTAATAATAGCAAATAGCATTACATTTTCGAGTGTAAGATATCGTAACACATTTAGATATATTGAACTTCAGCTTATTCTGTTCACTCCATATTACCACCCTGTCTATATCATTTTGTAATGATACACAGTCTGCCATGCTTTTTATCGGAAGGAAAAGCTTCAGGTCGTCAGCAAATAAAAGGCATTGTGCCTTTTCAATTACCCTCGGCAGATCATTAATCATTATCACAAACTGAAGTGGCCCAAGATTACTACCCTGACTCACTCCTGACCAGACAAAATATTCATCAGACCGGCAACCATCGTACTCCACATATTGTTGTCCATCCCTCATGTAACTGCTGAAAAATTTTAACAAATGAGGTGTAAATCCAAACTCAGACAATTTTCGAAGCCAAATGTCATTATCCACGACATCAAAAGCTTTTTGGAAGTCAAAATAGGCGACGTCCACTTGGCCTTCACTATCTATGGCTGGTATTAGATGAGCGCTGTAGTTCATAAGATTGCTAGTGGTATTCCGCCCCGGTCGAAATCCATGTTGTGCTTCAGATAAGTGCGGACAGATCTGTAAAAGTATGGTATTCTGCATGACTGACTCGAATACCTTCGCTGGTGTGGAGAGGACCGCTACCGGTCTATATCCATCTACCCAGTCTCCCGACGTCCCTTTAGGTACAGGAATCACCCTTTATGCTAAAAAGAAACCTTTCTCCACCGAAGTTATGCAACGGAATCAGGCTTAATATTATAGTAAAGAGGAATATTATCGAAGTAGAGTTTCTAACTGGCTGTGGTACAGCACGCCGGTTTCAAGGTGTCACCATCTCTGAGGCCCCGGATTCGATTACCGTTTGGGTCAATGTAGAAAATAAACTTTTCTATATTGTCTTAGGTCTGGG